CACACAACTCGTTTCTGCTGTTGTCCCCGAAACATGCACTAACAAACTAAACACTACAGGCCTTTCACAGCGGTGGAAGTGTGTCTCCAGACGGCAGAGCTTCAGGTATTAGCCTCATACTTTGTTAAGGAGTGTTTGGGTTGTTGCTGAGGCCTCTCTTGTTCTCATCTGCTTTCCTAAGTTTCCTATGACAGGTCTGTTTCCAAAACAGCGGCCAAAGCCCCGGCCCCTGTGGGCTGAAGGTAAGAGTCCACTCCAACAACGTGCCTGATTTATAGAGACATGTCAACTCCTCCACTTCCAAGAGTCCTTCCTGAAGAAAAAGTCATCAAGCCGTGAATAATGGTGCAAAAGTACAGCTGCCCGGAGCCAAGTCGACAAAGAGGATGTGTTTAACCTCTGCAACTTCTGCCCCATATCTGCAGCCAAAAAATCAATATGTCTCCTAGACTGAACACATGTATAGTATTTCCTGGAATAAACCTGAGGGAGGTGTAAGCAGCAATTACAACTTACACGGGTCACTTCTAGGAATAACAAACACATATTTCAGGTCACATGCTGTTTATGAAACATATTAAACTCATTACATGGTTTATTGAAAATTCACATGACATGGTTAAATTACAATTGAAAATGTTTGTAAGTATAGTGAGTAGAGGTGGGAACCTCAGGGTACCTCACGATACGATACGATACACAATACAAAGCTCACGATAACGATTATATCACGATATAACAATTATCGATATATTGGTCAGAAATATACCAAAATGTTAAGTGAAAAAATACACTTTATTTCATGATAAATAGAATGGAGATGCGTAATGTAGTCATGTATTAAGTATTGATACCGATCGCGGGAGAAAGTATCACGATATATTGCTATATCGATATATCGTCACACTCCTAATAGTGAGACATAGTTGAATCAAGATACATTTTCAGTAATCTTAGAAAATATTACCTTCATTTTGTATTTTTCCCTGTGTGTATGAACTTTTATTTGTCCTTTAGCGAGTCCAGTGTCACACAGTACAACATTTTGGGAATTCATTTTTATTCCATTTAATTATTTTATTTTTGACCAAAACTTGAACCTCTTTATCCAAGCACTTCTTCTCTGAACTAGATAAAAAAACAATCAACATGTATTCATAGGAGGCCAGTCCCTGTGCTCCTCAGAGTCTCAGTAGGTTCACATGGCCTAGGGCAATCATAATTATTATGATAATCGATTATTTGGCAGATTTTTCGTTTAATTAATCTATTAGTGGTTTAAATACAGATAAACAGTATTTATCTGTTATCATGTATACGTGTCGACAAAGAGAAACCATAAAAACGGCGACATCCCCTCTGATAAGACTGAAGTGTTTACATATAACTGGAGCGTGGCTTAAGAGCAGGCGAGGTGCAGCTGCAAAACGCCACACTATAATCCATCATGATCCCTCACCCCTGCTCCAGCACAAAAGACCCAGGAATGAGTTCAAGGGACCAGAGGGACAAATGAGACAACAGGGCCAAGCACTTTCACATACCGACAATTACCAATGCACAATACAGCTCAATTTACCCTTATTGACAAATTAACAAGAGCAGTTGCCATATTAGACAATCGATTGGATCACAGTGTCACACATGCGGCCGATGACAATTTATGTCCACTGAAATTATTATTATTCACTTGCAGCATTGATGGCAAGAGTTTAATACTGTATGAGCTACCATGGCATCTTTAACAGCATTTTTGTGTTTGTTTCATAAATATATTGTGTTTTTCCCAACAGAAAGGGTCTTGAAACATTTTTTGAACCAACCAGACCACAATATGCTGTCTTTATCTTAGAGCTGATTGACTGAAAACTTTCTTTGTCACATCTTGGGACCGGCTTTTGCAGTCTGAGATGCCAAAATTACATACATCTGAAAACTATACTGACAAAATAAAAGTGTAACAATTCAAAAAAAAAAAAAAAGATAAAAAGTCTACCATAAAAATTGGTCCAGTTTTGGTTAAACATGATAGACCTCTTTTTGTTTATAAAAATCTACTGGAACAGGAAATTTAGACGCATTACAGATTCTTTATAATGGATACTGTGAGAATAGAAACTACATTTAAGAACACACGTATCTATACACAAATAAAGAGGATAAATAAAACAGTCCATCAACAACATCTCAGTTTTTAAAATGTGGTCTCTGACTTAAAACCTGTGTCTATTAGACGTAAAAGGAAGATAATAAGGGACAAATTCAGTCTTAAAATGCAAATTACGCTTTTCTTTAATCTTGCTTTTATTAATTACAGAATTTGTTTGATTTAATTTATATACATGCAGTACTTGTAAAACTCCTATTTGTAAAATATCAATAAAACTACATTTTTGCAGCTCTACTGGCTCCAAGACATGTTTCTGCGACCTTAAATATGCCATAGACTTTGAATAACTAAGCACAAAGTTAGATAGTCCAATGTAAGAAAAATAATTGTTTTTCAGAAAATGGCAGAGAGAGAGACACTATCAGCTTGTCAAAACATTGCTTAAGTGAAAATGTCACAGAGCCCATAGAGTATTGATTCAGGTTCCTGGTAAAAAAGAAATTGCATGAGCTGTTTGGCCTGGCGTGTACCTTAATACCTTGTTAACTACAGAAATCTAGGTAAACATTAACACCATATTGTTCCCATGTGTTGTTAAAACATTGAACATTCAATACATTATTTACAAAAGGTTTTACCAAAAAGTTAGAGGTAAGTGATTACAATGGCCCTGCTGTAGCCCTAAATTGTCTTAGTTTTGTATAAACAACACTTTAATGATTCACAATGGACCGGAATAAAGGACTTGGGCTTGTTAAAAATCTGAAATAGGATTTTCAAACAATATACTGCTTATACTAACTTCTAACACGTTTGCCACATCCTTTAGTAAACTTGTCACAAAAGAGTTTATCTTATTTGTTTGCTCACACTTAAAAAGAAACAGTATAATTACAATAGACCTCAATATATTTCTGTTTCTGCCCTTCTGAAAGGTGACATTTGTGGCTTATGATTAACATGGTGAGTTGTGAAATCCACCTGAATAGTTTCTCCATGGGGCAATCATCAACTGTACCACTCCCACAATATACAGAAAGACGTGCCAACTCTCTGCACACATTAACACTATATTGGACCAACAAACAGGTTATGTTCCAGGCTACTAAACGCTTTGGTATAATCACATGTTTATTTGCTTTTTTCACCTCATTGTTCAAAAGTCTGCACTCGGGTAAAAGGGAGAAAAAAGAAAGAGATTATGATAAGCTGTTTTGTGTAAGTATTTGTGAAATCTACGGCAAAACTATTGCCAATAGGCTGTAACTAAAGGGTAGTCTATAACTTTGGCGACATAGGCACACCAAAAGTCAAAATCCATACTTTTTAATATTTTGATAAGGAATGTGATTGTATTACATTTTGCCGATACAATCAACAGGCCAACACAATATGGATATAAAAAATATCAGTTACTAAATCTGACCTCAAAACATAAACTGTGCCATGCCATACATATTAATGGTTAATTCAAGGTTACAAATAATAACAAAGTCCTTTCATAAATGGGGATTTTGACAACATGGCCAAATTCAACAGTGCAATATGCAACTTGTATGTAAAAAAACCCAGAGAAAATAAAACTTTATATTTTTTCATAATTGACAACTGATCCTGGAACAGCTTACACATAACCATCATCAAATGTATTTTAAGTAAGTAAGTAATCTTTATCTATAAAGCAGAGCCACTGCCACTAGAAGGTCTTTTTTCTCACATGCTTTAAAGATTACTGTCTTCATCACCTTTCATCAAATAATTAGTGATCTACATTAAGATGACTGACATGCTGACAGGGTAGAGATGATTTGAGGTCAGATTTAGTTATGTGATTCTTATAACATTTAAAACGATAAATAGGGCATAACGTTTGTAGCCCACAGTTAGGCGCTTTCCCATGCTCAGGACGGGGAAGTGAAAGTTAACAATTACACGCTCAGTTAGAGGCTTGTTAACATGTTATAGCCATGATGATAAACTATACAGAGTAAGGACAGAATCATAACATTGATCTATGCATTCAATAAACCCAACATTCCTCAAAATGAAAAGAATGCTGCCGTTTTGAACATTCTTCATTTGAATCTTAATTTCCTCTGAGCTCCTTTGGACACTGGCCCCATGTGGCCCCGGGTTATACAATGGCCATGCTTTAGTATGGTTATTGGGCTAACTCGGTTAAACTCAAATAGCCCATGGGAGAATTACACAGTGCCTTATGTCAAAAAGTTAACTAACTGGAACCTCAGCAACTAACCTAGTTTTAAAGGACAAATATCGTACTTAAGACTTACTGTGGCCCTGTTCAACCATGCTCTGAAATACATGATGAGTCTAAGTTTAAAGCTGGGGTACCTCACTTCGAAACCACAACAATGAAACCTTTCTATATAATCCATATCACTAGCTCCCTGGCTCTAAAACAGTTAAATGACTAGTTTCCACATGTATGTAATGTGTAGCCTCTGTCACATCAGCTTTTTAAGACTGAAAGGTGAAAATAGAGGACCCAGACCCAGTATGCGCAAGATAACACGTTTTCTAATAATAATGAAGACAGCTTGTTGTGGTCTGATTTAATCTACATTCACAAAACTCTTTCTGATGGGACAGACAACATATGTTATTTGTGAAACATCAAAGTTAGGTGCCAAAGCTTCAAAACGTAAACACACTGAGCATCCACATAATAAGAAAGAGTCACATATTGTTTTGCCAAAAATCGTGGAGCCATGCCGGAAAGTCTCATCCCTACGTCCCCCCATAAGTTTACGTCCAAACACAGGAGCCATGTGCGTAAAGTTTACCTTCTGACGCGACCCTCCATCAAGCCCCGCACACACACCGATCAGACAATTGGATTTATTAGAAACTACAATAACACACTTACAGATAGTAGGTAAAGGCTCGCAGTCCGGTGGGCACAGTGGTCAGCCCTCTCCCGGAGCAGTCTGCACCTCCATCTTCATCGCAGCTGCACACGGGCGAGCACACGGCAGAGGATGGCTGTCCCTGCCCGGCGTACCCTGACCGGAGAACCCCCCAAAAGCACACCCAGAACAAATCCACTCGCATTTTTTTGTTTTGTTTTTTACCCCGGCGGTTGATCAGGTGCCAGCCAAATAAGGGGGCCTTTGTGCGCGGTTTTACGCCACACACTCAAGACTTGGGGTGGTGGGGGGGAGACGAGGTGCTACATAGGAAAACGCGTGCACCCCTCACAGCTTGCGATGGTCTACAAGGTTCGCGAATGGACGCTGCTAAAAAGTCAGTTGTGTTTTCGAACGCAGTGGGTTCACCTCGCGTGGAAACATTGCCCCGTGCGTGGTTTAGTCCGTAGAAATAAAGTAGAAGCAGCGCGTCTTGCGAAAAGGAGCCAATCGGACTATATCAAATCGGACGCGGCCGCTGTAACCAGTCGCGAGAGGGCTGTTCTGTACGTGCAGCGTGGAGTGGCTTGGTCCTGGTTTGAGTCCTACAGGAGGGAGAGGAGAGCGCAGTCAGCTTTCAGCCATTCCTCCTCCAGTCTCACCCCCCTCCCATGAGCAGCGTGCACCCTACCGGACAACGTGCGAGCGGCATCGGCCCAGTCCGCAAAAAAACCTGCTCTGGGTGAGGTGGAGCTGCAGATGTGGGGCTGCACTCTCAGGCCTGCGCTGACATGACCACGTTAAAAAAAGTATTGAAAAACAGACTTTATACTTTTGCACTTTTATAACCTCATACCTCATGTATGGATAATCTACACTGTTTTTTTATAGATTTTTGTTTTATTTTCAGGCATTCCTTCATGTCATTTTTACTGTTTTATAACTTCCTGTTACTTGCAACGGCAATACAAATAATTCAAATTTAGCTGATAAGGTCAAGTAAAACATGTTAAGGCTGGGGGTGTGACTTGAGTTATAACTTCTTTGGTCAAAAAAGTGTTGACAACAGTTTTGCACTGATGCATAACTATTGCATAACTATTCCAAACATAAATAATGGTGTCTAGCGTCTGTTTGGTCATAGTTTTCTGCTCCTTTCACATCAGCTTTCACAAAAGTGAATCGAGAAGACCAAGGCTTAAAAGATTTTTATAATTAGACAAACATGCTAGTACTGCTTATTATGTTACTGCGGTAGAGAACACCTGCAATTTTAACATTTTAGACACACCTTCACTCAGCCAAGTGGGGTTAGCTCTCAGCCGAGTGTCATTGAAAGAAAAGTCAGTTTCACCAGTTTTAGTGTGACCATCAAAACTAGATTCATTCATTCATTGTATTAAAAAGTTCTGATAGCAATGCACAATCCAAATTGGCCTTTCCAGAAAAGTTTTGTATAATTGTGATCTATAAATATATACAGCTCTTATGATTCCATGGAAAGTATCTTTTTGAATAAAACACCAAAGCTCATATTTCAGTTTGAAGATTACAAACATCTTTTCAATGTTAAACCAATTGCATAAATATTAACTAAGTTTGCTATAATTCCGTATATATGTTGTAAATACTGTTCTCTAACAAAATATTTGTCTAATTTACTGTGTACAGCATCTGCAGTGGCTCCGAGGGCCCCTGGGGGATCCCACTGTGGAAGCAATGGAACAATTATTACCTTTGACATTGTTCATTTTCTTACTTTGAACCGCACATCCCCAAATGCCTTTTTAATGTGTGTGTTAGAAAAGAAATAACGGGTTTCTTAAATGCAGTATGTTTTAAATCTCTGTGCGAGTTTCACATTGTTCTATTTTATCATAAAACTAAACTGAAATAAAGTAATATTATATTCTAATTCAAGGCAAATGATTGCATGAAATGGTTATATAAACAATTATGTTGAAACATATTTCCCTGTGCTACCCCCACGCTTTTAAAAGCTAAACAAATAAACAACAGAAAATAGGTTTTCAAAAGTGAATTATTCGTTTATTTCAGTTAAACTTTTCTATTGTAAAATGTTCTCCCAGAGGAGGTGGAGTGATCACCATCGTTTGTCTGTATCATAACTCAAAAAAGATTTTGACATCCGTCTGGATGCAAGACTTTTTTTACAGGAATGAAACTATGCCTCTAAGCAGATGTCTGCGCTCTACAAGTGCAGTTTCTAGTTGCATAAAATTTACTGTTGGTAACCTTACTGATGTTTTATATAATTTCCCAACCAGTCATATAGAATTATCACATATTACAGATAGAATCAAGTTCATCATGGTTAAGAGTCTGAGTTTTGTTTGTTCAAGCTTGACATGAATTCTCTGGTTCTGTGGTCATACTAAGATAACAATACTAACAGCAATATCTAACAACTTCTCATCAAAATAGTGGATTAGTTTATCACAATTAATCGACCTTTTTTCTCAATTGTAAAGACTGCATTTAAATGCACAAAGGACCCATACAGTCAGGGGCCAACACACTAGAAGAGATGGCACAACTGGGCCGAGTCCGGGCCCCACCAAGCGGCCCCACCCAGGTACAGTATACCAGATTTAAATGTTCCCTACTTCAAAGACAGTCCACTACATCTTTGTTGGGATCACATGTTCAGGATAAATTGAAATTATGAGTGAATAACAGTTTCAATGAAAGACCTATAGAATTAATCTCATCCGTCTATCTGTAAGTGAGTGATCTCTTTTTAAACAGCTCATTCCAGGGACCAGGGATCAAAGAAATGTACAATTGTGTGTATTTTCTGTTCACCTCAAACACAGTGATGACAGAAGTGCAGCCTCACAGCTGGGTCTCGTGCAACAGCCCGTCCCACATCCCCCTCCAGTCCCAGTTAATGTTCTAAAGCAGTGTCTCCCAAAGTGGGGTCCGCGGCCCCCTGGTGGGCCGCGAGGGTACTGCAGGGGGCCGCGGGAGGTCATAAAAAAAAAAAAAGAATAATAATATAATTATTTAATGTTAAATTTATAATGTTTTGTTTGTAATATTAAAATATTTGTGTTCATTATTTGACTTGAATAATCCACTGTAATCATTTTTGTATTACAATGTTTGTAGCAGAGGCTATTTCCCCAAAATAGAATAACCAGAAGAGCCTATTCTTAATGTTGTCTTCTTGGTTATTATTTTGGGGGGCCACGCAGACCCGTCAGATTTTTAAGGGGGCCTCGGTGTTACTGAGTTTGGGAATGGCTGTTCTAAAGGAAAGCGGAGCACATTCTTGGCTTCTAATTATGCGCTTTTTTTGTTTTATATCATAATAATGTTAATGACAACTGTTTGTCAGACTCATGCAAAAGAGTGAAGAGGGCTTGAGGGTATTTCTTAACAGACAAACATAATAAATAAACTTTCTGGCTGGATCAATAGCAGTGCTCTGTGGACTTTGTGTGCACATACGTATAATACCATTGAACATCTATTCTGCTACTCTGTCTGGACCTGGCTTTCTGCTTCATTTCTTGGTCACAAACTGCTGAAATAAGGCACACAGTAGCACTTCTGTAGCCACAGCTGCCCTTGTGCAGACTGATGGGAGAAAGTCAACCAGATGTGCCATCGGGCCCTCTGATCACCACCGTCATTCACGCTCACATTGTAGACAGCATAGGTGAAGTGTCTTACTTTAAAGCCATCACACTGTGGCACCTGGTGTTCCCAGAGGTCTCCCATCCCAGTACTAACCAGGCCTCGTCCTGCTTAGACTCTGATGTCTGGATCAGTCTTGCATGTGCACAAGTACAACAACTTCAAAAATAAAGTGGATAAAATCAAACAGAATATCCTCCAGTTGTGTGTTCTGGGCATTAGAGCCCTTTTAATCAAATCATAATGTTCTTTTCTTCCTTGTTTTTGAAGCTGTTTGACACATAATGCATTTTGACGTATGTGCATTCTTTAGTCAATTCACGTCCCTGTCAATCACAGTTGATCTATAATTAAATCCGTCTTCACACACCTCTGCTTCTCGGCTATATCGCACCTGGCAGTTTGAGTCTTCAAGCGCCTGCAGAGAAGAGTGACGCAGACAGGCTCAAGGTTCACAGGGCGTGGTGCAAGTACATTCACTTTATATACACTCAGACAGACTCCTATACAATGCAGCTGGAGCACATATGGAGACCAGGGAGAGGAGTTGTATTACAAACCGCGACACAAGATGGGGTGCGCTGGGTATCGGACATCACAGGCCCCCTGCCCATTCATCACTGGTCTTTTGTGAAAACAGGAGGACAGTGCTTCCTCTGTCCGGTCCAGGTTAATTAGGTGGATTTGCTGGTTTGACTGTCAGTTAAGACCAGTTAAGACCAGAGCAAAAGTCAAGGATCATGTATTAAGAATTTTGAATAATCATCTAATTGGTATTTTCTAAGTGCATTATTGATTTAAAGTAGGATATGAGTGTTTAAAGTAAAAAAAAACAAAAAAAAAATATCACGCTTCCTGGGCTGGACCTTTCATACAGATGAGAACTAGTACCAGTCTTTTTTTGTAGTTCATGCGAGGCAGCCCAGGAATTGACAGGAAATGGAGGCTTTTTGTAAAGATCGGGCAGTTTACCATGTTCAATTAGTTTTTATGGCTCCAGCGCTTTGCCACAAACTGTGGTCTACAGAACCTACACAGGGATCTCACACACTTTCATAATTTTGCATTAGGTTGTCACTTTATGCCATAGTTCAATGATAATATGGACGTTATGCTTTCATTCTGCCAATGTCCTGCAATTTCTACATACATATAGAAACGTATTTCTTTTACATTATATTAGGCCTTTACTTCGATCCCGAAAGCCAAACTTGAAAAGCATTTACAAGTACTTATACATGTATGTTTTGAGCTTTGGTTGCTCCTTGGGAGCTTTTACTTAGTTTTGTTTGAGGAATCTACCAACCGTTTCTCCCTTTGGAGTTAGAATTGTGTCCGATGTATGGAGTGGTGGAGGTAAATTGTGTTTAAAAAAAAAAAAAGCTTACAATTGCGGTACAAATTAATACTACACTCATGTGTCAGTACAGGTACCCCTGGATTTGTACTCATTTTGTGTCAGACAATTATCAAAACAATAATTGCTCCTGTGGACTCACCACCACCTGCAGGAGGATCAGTGAGGGGCTGGTGCTGTGTGTA